TAAAGCTTCATTATTAGACTAGACTATCAGGAGCAGCTAATCACAAATAGCTCCGGCCTCAGGAGGTTAAAACAGCAAAATCTAAAATCAGGTAACCCTAGCTACACAATAACTTTACCACACAGCAGCTGTAATGAGCAACTTATATGAATTCATTTCTTACAAAAACTCTGCTATAATATATAAAAAAGTAGCGTTAATAAAGTCAAGTGAAATACAGGTGGTAAGTACTTTGTATCCATATTTTATTCTGCATCCAGTATAAACATGGATACAAAATAGTAGTCTAGTACCATGTAAATCATAGCTGAGTGTAGCAATTAAGTAAATGTACTCAAGTCCACCTCTGGCTCTCACGCATCTGTTTGTTCACACAAATTACCGTCGCTGTGTTGTGGGATGAGCCTGTTCGCTCCCGGTCTGGGCTCCTCTGTGAACTCGTGCAGGCTGCTGTAGTTTTCTCTCTGCTCCATGTCTGTAGTTTCCTTCTCAACCCTCTTCCCCACTTTGTCCTTCTATATGCTACCTCTTCAGGTCCCTAAAGGTTTTGGTATCTTTTGTCTGGCGAAACAATGTTTCTCCTTAAAATTAAATTTGTCCCTGCTGGTTGAATTATTGAGGCACGTCCCCCTGAATCAAAGAACGTTGCAGTGTTAAATATATTTGCTCAGAGAACTACACAACACTACTCTGTGCCCTCCACGAGATAACTCAAGCTTTTCTGTGTCATCTGTTTCGTAGAAAAGGAGAATTTGTTAAGCCAAACAGGGAGGCTCTTCCCTCACATTTTTGGCACCGTGTGCTTCTTATTGGTGGGACATCTTGCCATCAAGTCCCATCTTGCGCAATCCCAGAAGTTTTCTCGACTCTGTTTGGATTGAGCCACAGATTCTGGAAATTTGTTACGGATGAGTCAGAATGGGGGAACGTGTTCTTTAACAGGATCCAAAAAAATACAGTGTGTACTTGAACTCCTCCTGACATTAATTAAAGCAACAAGAACTAGAACTGGAGCTGTGACAAGGTTGTGATGGGAAAGCAGGCGAGAACAGCGTGTTTTAAAAAAGAAGAGCCAAGCTGTGGCTCAGTGAGAAAAGTACAGGAAATCAGAAGAGAAGAATTTCTGGTCATGTGCAACCACAAATTTCAGCACAGCAGTCACTGAATATGACACAAACATGAAACACCCCTCCTCTCTGCTTTAATTAGTTTGGTTTGAATAACAAAAACCTCATGAAGCACAAGAGCTGACAATGTCTGTGGGAATAAGGTGCCAGGAAAAAAAATAACTTGGACATGTACCAGAAAAAATGTTGACAGTGTGCTGGAAGAACAGAGTGGGCATCTGGTGTGTGTGTGGTGAAGAGGTGATATTGTTACAGCTGTTCTGCTTATGGAGAGAATACAAATAACCTTAAGCACACACGCACATGTTTACCAGCACACACACACACACACTTGCAGTGCTGGTAAATGCTGAGTCATAGTCAGTCCTCCATTTTTGCCAGTTTTAAAAAAGTTGGGGACAGAAAAAGAACTTTGCTCATGTTTTTGGTAAATAATACTGAACCTACATGCCAGCTCGCCATCATCAAATGTTTGTTTGTGCAATCCAACATGGCAGGTTATCACTAGTTTGGCTACAAGAGATTGCACCATCTGAGTTTACATGGTTTGATAGCCATGAAGAGTCCAATCTGTCTGGAAGATTTGTGCAAGCTGTACTTTTCCCTTCTCTTTGATACACAAACTGCTATATAAAACATCAAGAGGGCAGAGAGAGGACACCAAAGTCTGCGATATCCTGCAAGCTGACAGACACCATGCATCTTATCCAAAAGAAAGGTAAGAAGCCCCGATGCAGCTCCAGATATTCGTATGTCCGGATCTGTTTGCATGTGTGCTAATGCTGAGTCCGCTGTCTGTCATCAGCCACCCTGGGCATTAAAGGCCTCGCCATCCTCTGCGTTGTGCTTGGCCTGTTCGCTAATGCTGAATCTGCTCAGGATGCAAACAACACAGAGGGAGAGCTGACCTTTCTAAAGCTGAAACTAGAGTCTTTAAAGGACCGCTTCAGACACATGTGTAACCAGTACTCCGACCTGGCACACAACTGTTCAGCTCCAGGTACCAAATGTTCAGCAGATGAATGATAATTCAGTGCTTGTTTCTTCTTCTGCACCTTTCTTTAAATGTTTAACTTGTATATTTGTCTGTCCCCGTGTCACCCCACAGCAATCAACTGCACAGAGTGTCCTGACGGGTGGGTTCACGTAGGTGATCACTGCTTTTTCCTCAGCAAGGATACCGACGGTTGGCTTAACAGTACGCTCAAATGTAAGGATATAGGCGGACATCTCGCCATCTTGACCACCAAAGAAGAGCATGTGAGAATTTCTTTGTACTTTAAATGTTTCAAATGTATTTTTTTGGAATTCACAAGTGCTAAAGAATTTGACTGTACATATTTTTAGGATGCTCTTGAAAAAAAGGCCAGGACGATTGGGACGTTTAACCCATTCTACTGGCTTGGGCTGAGTGACATTGAGAACGAAGGAGACTGGAAATGGGTGGACAACTCAACACTTCAAGTTTCGTAAGTATGAATTGATTGATTCAAATTTCAATGGTCTTCTCAGGATGGTATCATCATACAAAAAGTGGGTGATCTAACAAAAAAAAGGATAAAAGAATAAAGTACAAAGCATTTCTAATGGTTGCTAACACATGCAGTTTACAAATGATCATCAGTTAGAGAGACAAATAGTTCTCACTGTGGATTGTGTAATGTTGAAGCTTGTGGACATTTAAAAATATGTAAAAGCTATTAGTTTAAAAATGTCCATCTGATGCTTTGTTAAAACAGGTTAAATCAGCTGCTATAGCTTTCGTGTCAAAAACCCTAAACAGTTACAGGGTTTCACTTATGAGTTTTTCCTCACTGTAACTCGAGTGCGATGTCTGCACCTACTGTGAAGACCACACAGGCTTTGTCTCATGGATGCAGGAACTTGCATTCTCTCAAATGGCCAGCAGGGGGCACCTCATATAGATGCAGAAAGAAGTCAGACTGTATGGAAGTCAATAAAGAAATCACTCATGAACACTTTGCTGATGCCTTATTGTTTCAATTGATAGTTATTTTAATACAAAATTATGCATTTTGTAATATAACATCAGATTGTAGTCAAAAATAAGGATTAGGCCTGTGTCAAACCAGAGTGTGGTTTAGCTCAGGCCTAATTACTGATTAAGAGCTGCAGTGCTCCTCGGGTCGCTCATCGTCATTGCTAAACTCAAGGTTTCATGGCAGGACTTTGCAAACCAGTGGGTGACACCATGCTGGCTGTGTCCATTTTTTATATACAGTCTATGGCTGGTAGAGAAGCAGTTGGGAAACAGTAAAAAAAAAAATTGCGTGATTGTTTATGTCAGTTAAATGACTCCTTTGGCCACTGCTAGATAGATGTACGGATCACATTAGAGTCTGTTTGGTAGTGCAGATTGTGCGAAAAATGAAGGATAAAACGATTGCTGAAAATATGAATTATTAATTTTCAGTTTAGAAAACAAAATGAAAATGCTGATGCTAATTCTGACCATTTTGCTCTTTAATCATATTTACTTAGTTAAACATTTTTAAACAAATATTTCTATTATTATGACAAATGACAAACACGACATTTCTCTACAATCCTAAAGCAAACATGTATAAATAAACACGCTAGTCTGAATAATCATCGAGTAACCTATCGTTGGTTTAACGACAAACATTGTTGCATGGAGCTGCAGCACCTGCCTGCCTACACACTGAGCGCTTTAGAGACTTAAAATGAAGGCCTGGGTGTTTCTGTAACGTTGCCATCATCTTTTATTTAGGTTTCATATGCTGTAAAGGAAACATACAGTTTGACACCTACACAGAGTTTTGGCTCATACATGTTCACTAAAGCCTTAACAATAAATGTACTTCTTTTGAGAAAACGGTGATCGAGGCAGAGTTGAGGATCAGCTTCGATTAAAATCAACCCAGATGGGTTCACAGAGCTCGCCAAGACCTTAAAGAGCATTTTCAGCCTGTTAATCGGGCTTTTGTACACAGCAAAGGTTTCTTGGCATCAAGTACATAATTACTGGTTTAAGTAATGGGGGGTGTTTTTATTTTTATAGGTGTCATATTACTAATAATGCTGAAGAGGTTGCTAAAGTCTCTGGACTAGCCTATGGTGTATGTGAAATGAATTCCCTCCAACAGACGGTGTTTAGATTTATAGATGTTTTAATATAATTGCATGTCTCGTTATGTCCACGAGAAAACTGCTCGAAGAACAAAACTACTACTGTTTTCATAAGAATATCACCATATTAGACATGATGAAAAGTACAAAGCACAAACATTTATTAAATAACCTTTGCGGCAGTTCCCTGAAAACCTGATGGTAGCGCTGAAGGACAAATCAATTTGATCTTTTTTTTAAAAAGTTTTTTGCAAAACTTCACAGCAATTCATCAACTAGTATGTAGGTGTAGGCATGTTTTGCATCAGTTCCTCCATCCTTCAAACTAACTATAGTCACAACTAGAAATGTGCACAAGGAACCATCCTGTAAATAAACAGGTCTTTTAGCTGGTGATGGCTCTTAAAGAATAAAGAATTACTTAAAAGTAATGCATCTTCCCCTTAGCAAGACAACTGTTAAATCAGTGCACAAACTTAGCAGGTGAACTGCCACTTCAGCAGAATATTAATGAAAGTAATGTTAATCTTCTTCCATCTGTGTTGTAAAGATTTTGGAACACACTGAAGTCTGAGCCGGACAACAACGCGTCCGCTGGGGAAGCTGGAGAGGACTGTGCGGTGGTGGACACCCAGAATCAGAACTGGTACGACGTTCCCTGCTCCTTCCAGTATCGACGAATCTGTCAGATGGATGCCATCCCGCTAAATTAGCCCAAGAGGACCTCTACAGGAACATCACTCAGAAAGATTTTGATGCTTTATTGAAAACATCTGCTAATGTTTTTACACATTACAGTTTTCATCTTTCCATTTTTAGCAATAAACTTCACACAAATAATATGCTGCGCATGTAAATTTACAGAAGCATCTACACATCTGAAAGCATTACAGACCTCCTCAAAAAATATACATAAGTAGACAGGAAATTTAGTCTACAGATAGACTCAAAGTGTAAATGATTTAAAGTCATAGACGGTAATAATCATACATAAAATACATAAAATCAGTCCAGATTGCCTGATATGTTTGATCCTCAACCCAACAAAACTCTTGTACTTTTACTTTCCAATATGGCAAAATGAGAGATGTAAATCCAGGTAATTCAGGTAAATCAGAACATATCAGATCAGAAATTCAGCGTGCTCCCGTTTCTTCTTAAAGATCCGGTCGGTGAGCTTTCATGTTCTGTAAAATCCTTTTGGTTTGGGGCTGAAAAAGAAAAAGTTCCAGGTTTCTGTTTGAGTTATGGAAACTGACGCAGAACTACAAAACCCAAATCATAAATGCTTATTTAAGTAATGTTCGTACTTCAAAAAATATCTCATGGCTCAAAGTGTCATTCAGATTTTAGTGCTGATAAGTGTGCATGCTTGTAAATGTGGCTTTGGAGCCATTTTACCAGTTCAGGAAATGGTTAGTACGTACTTTTTGCACTGGCAGAGTCGATGCCTGAGGAGTCTCGTTTTCTGCTATGTGAGTGACAAAGAGACAGACACAGAGGGGTAACTCTTAAAGCTGAACTAATAAGTCAGTGTGATTGAAAAGAAAGGAATATGAACGGCTGAACTGTACTTTTCTGCGTCGGTAGTGGATGAAAGCGAGCACGAGGAGGAGGAGAAGGATGACTGCTGCGCTGCAAATGATCACCAGCATCCACACACTCAGTCTGGGCTCTGTACACAACAGAGACAGACAGTCATCAAACAGTATACAGTATAGAAAGAACACATCATGTAAAAGAAGTTTCTGTCTTAAAATTTTGTGGTCACAAGGTCAGGCCCATGTCACACTTCCTGCTCGTCTCACTTCCCGTGCTCACCGATCTTAAGCAGTATCTCATCTGACGTCAGCTTGTTGCCGCCCTGCCACAGCTCACACCCCCACTTTCCGTTATCCTCTTTGCCCACTTCCGGGACAGTAATATGGGTGGGGTAAGAGATGTAAGAGGACGATGTTTTAGGTGAAGTCCAATTTAACTTCATATCATTGGGCAGCTGTTCACCAGTGCTGCAGGACAGATTGACCTGCTGACCGTAGATTAGCTCTGTTTTTGGGTGGGCAATGACTGGAGACGAAGCAGAAGAGAAAGAACAAAGAAATAAAATGAAAAACGTGCATTTTATAAAATATTTTGCTTCAAAGAAGTTGTCTGTAATGGCATTTTCCTGAAATCTGACCAAAACTTTGGCCATGAAAGCAGCGATGATGTCTAATCAAAACATTTTGATTTCTTTCCCAAATAAAAGCTTGTAAAAAACAAAAGGAAAATTCAACATCTCACATCAATAGCAGCAAGAGCGGTCACAAAGAAAAAATAACCCTAAATATAACAGAGGTGAGTGCAACACAGAGCTAGTCTTGTCAAAAAATGTGACTTACTTTCCAACACCACTACGTCTACTGTGGTCTCCAGAGTCCTGCCATTTTTAAATTTCATTGAGCACGTGTAGCGTCCTCTGTCTTCTACTGTTGCCTTTGATTTGGTCAAAGACAGATTTCCATTTTTAATGTAATATACAGGAGACAGTCCGTTGTTTGCATTCTTCTTCCAGGTAAGTTTTTCCAGATCAAGGGAGAAGAGCTGCTGTGGCTGGTCAGGAGAGGTGCCTGAGGAGAGTTTAGGAGCAAAGTGCCACTGAACTTCCTCAATCTCCTTTTTTTTCACTTGTTCCCAGGTAACAGATGAAATTAAAGAACAAGGGATGGTGAGAGGCGAGTCTGTGGATGTATACAGATGCGAAGGCACAGGGGCGAGGTCTAAAAAGGAGGAGAAACTGTTAGAAACATGATCTTAAAGATGAGGATACACAACTGCGAAACAAATGCAAACACACAGAAACTCACCCACAACTGTAACAGAAACTGGGAACTTCTTTTCATTGCCATTTTTTTTCACTACGCAGTCCCACTGGCCATTGTGTTCACTTCTGGCTTGAATGTCGACTGTTCCTTTGTTTCCTTCTCTGTTTCCCTGGGGACTGACCCAGTAAATCTCAGGTGTGTTTTGAGGAACACTTCCCAGACTGCAGGTCAGACTCAGATTATCACCAGACAACAGAGGAGAGGCTGATTTCTCAATCACTAGCACAGAAAACAAGAAGAATAAAGGAAACAGAATAGAAGTGATATATTTTACATTTTAAAATAAACATTTTTGAAATACGTAGTTTAAAAAAAAAAGATTTTCATGTCTAATGAATTTATAAAGGCAGAATATATATAATACAGAATATGATGCAGATATGTAAATACAGTGGTTTAAACTTTAATGACCATTAATTAAACTTTTTTGTGAAACTGATCAACTGACGTAGGTCACACTAATCATGTGACCTGTTTTTTGCTCTTACCATTGACTTGAATGACGTTAAATACAGTGATCAAGTCACTCTGACCGGCTGCAGTGATTTTACAGAAGAAAGTCCCAAAGAGGCCTTTCTGTAAATTCTTTATGACCAGCGAGGTACCAGTTAAGGACAAGCTGTTTTTCCACTTCTCATCTACAAGGCAGAAAGTTGTTGTTAAAAATATTTTTTATTTACCTGTATTTACCTGTTCAGTAACAATAAATAAATAAAAAATATATAAATATATGGTTTACCATTACTGAATCCCTTTCCGCCTAAGTGGTTGACCCAAGCAAGTTGATGACCATCCTGTTTTTCAAAATACCAGTACACATAAGATTGTGCTGGATAGGATATTGGCTTCAAGGTAATATCCTGTCCCTCCTTAGCATAAATCTCTTCCTGAGCACCTACAAGGATGAGAAGGATGATATGTGTTAATATGGAATATCAAACAGTCCAGTTTCCAAATGAAAATAAATGTGTCTACAGTCAGGGTGTCTTACCGGTAGTTGACACAATCACAGCGATAAGAAGGAGAAGGGACCGAATGAAGTTCTTCATCCTTGTTATATGTCTGAAAAATATAATAAAAATACAGTTTATAGATTTTTATAGTAACTATAAGCTTTATTTTTATAGCTTCTTTCAAATGTTAACTTTTTTGATTAAGACTTCAAGCCTGATTATTTGCTACTTTCTTAAAAGAGCAGAACAATATTCAAGAAATGTATTACTTTCTTTACATCAGAAAGCCCGAGGTATAATTGTTATATATTATATGATCACAAATATATGTAGTTCTTTGAAACAGATACAACAAAGAAGAAAACCATAAAGAAAATCTCCATGGAATTAAATTCCACATCAGCCTGCTGTACATTATTGATGCGTCAGAACAAATACAGCGAAAAGTGAGTGGTCCGAGTATGGAGCCTTGTGGAACGCCGCCAGCAATTTTTTTTGTTTCAAGTATTGAATTATAACAATTGATAACAATTTCTTTGACTAATAAAACACAGCTTTCTAAATGATTTTGCTGATAAAGAGTAGACAGAGAGCAAACAGGTCTTAGGTGATTCAAAAATGGAAAATTAATATTAAATATATGTACCATAATTCTTCAGTTTATATGGCAAACCCAATTTACTGTTCAATTGTCTGAGATTTGCTGCCTGAGCTCAATATAATCCTTTAAAAAATGCATTGACCGATTGATTTGAGGGTGTTTAGTAGTGATGTTGTACTTCACTGCATAAGAATCAATCAATAAATAACTCTCTATGTGACCTGTAAATGAAACTTGAAGGTCTTTCAGAGCTGTTGAACAGGTCAGCAATACATCGTAAATATGTCGTACTATATTTAATAATTTAGTGACAAACAAGAAGAAAAGTAGATGTTGAAAAATAAGCATTTCAGTAAAAATGGGTCTTTAGTTTAGTTGTAGCGTCCTGTGTATATTGAAGTCTGCTGCAAAGTGAAATCATTCAACAGGAAGCAAAGGGGGGTTTGTGGTGGTCTCAGATTTTGAGAGATTTCAGAAGATAAAAGACAAGTAGTTCAGAGAGCTGAGAGTAGGCGGCCTGTGGTGGGCTTTGGATGAAAAGAAGCAGACAAATGTTGGAGGGAAGAGGCTCAGAGCGTAAGCTGGCTTGTGGTGGGACTTGATTTAGTGAAGGGTGCAGATTCTTATCCCAGTCCTCCCTTCTTCTGCCTCTCACACCCCCTCTCTTCCTCCTGTGTTCCACGAAAGACGGATCTCTCCACGCTTAAAAAGACCACAGCACCAGCAGCACACCTAGACTGTGGTTTAAGGTAGATGTTTCTCTCCTTTTTTTTTCTGCGTTTCACCCCTTATCTCTGTTTTTCTTCTCTTTGCCTGTACGCTGTGTTATGGTTGTGCACAGAAACTCTAAAGGTATGTTTGTGTAAAAAGATAAATAAATTAATATTGAAAAAACGTTAAAAGGGGGCATTTATGTGCCCTCCCAACAAACACACTCTTGAAGGGGAAGCAGCTTTAAAGTAAGATTATGGATATTTCTTTAATGTATAAGTCGATGTTCATTAAAGACTTTTTCTTTTGAATGAGCAGATTGAGCGAATCAGATTTATTTGTGCAACACGCCACAATTTCCAGAGATCTTAGGAACTATTTGACTTTTAAATGATAAGACTTGAGTTCTGTATCAGATTTTACCTTTTTGGATTAAACACTTCAAAACATAAATCGATCAAAAATAATAAATTATTTTGATGGAAGAAAAATGGCAATGCTGTGACGACACGATTCTCTATGAGACGTGGATAAAGCTGTGGGCTCTTTATTCATGAAACAGACGAAGATCAGAGAATTGTTTATCAAAATATTCTTCAATAGTGAGGTAAAACATAACTTTACGCCTAAATACATGATTTTTTTTTATCGGCGACCAAATGTGTTTTAAATCTAAATTTAATGCGCTATCATGTGTAAATAGGTGAAGACACTCGATAACTGTTTGTGTCCAGTTATTTTGAGTTATTGTTTAACCTCCTAGGACCTGGCGTCCACATATGTGGACATCACATTTTGGGTTATTTAGACCAAAATAGTCAATTTTGCTCTACAATGGCCTGATATCCACTTACGAGGACATTATACTGCTACTGTTCTATCGAAATTTTAAATGAATATCCTCATATATGGCTCTCATTTTTCTTAGAAACATAAATTAGGTAAAAAAAAATCTGGTAATTCTTTGTTTTTACATTCATCAGGTCCCAATCAGCCCAAATATCAAAGAGAAATTAAAAATGCATGCCGTGGATGAGTTCGGGTCTTAGGAGGTTAAGGTTTAACTGCTGATAGATATTTAAACTTAAGGCAAAATTAAAGGTTTCTAGTTTGTCTCTAGGCACCGGCTCTCCATGTCTCTGTGCAGTGAAATGCCCCCAAATACCTTTAATAATATTACAGGTTTTCACTAGTTTCACCATTGCAAGGAAAATCAGCTCCATGATGCACAATGTCCTTATCAGCTAAATGTGCATAAATGTGTTGGGATAAATATAAAAATCACCAAGTCCTTCTTTATCCTACTAATAGCCTCATTACTCACATGAAAATAATTTAAAAAATAATTCTCGTAACAGCTTTAGAGTGCAATCATCTCTCTAGGGGCCTCACTCACACAATTTAAAAAGCTAATTGTTAGCGCTCATAGATGAGCCAGCTACCAGAAGAAGAAAATCAACAGGAAATATTAAAATCTGAGGTGTTTTTGTGTTGAGGGAAAATGTCTCATAGAATTTATGCCCCAATATAATCTATTTCACTCGACTGAAACTGCATAGTATTTAATATGAATTGTATCAGAGTTTGTAAGAAAAAATAATGAGGGAAGTTCGGTGATGGAGTGAAACTGATGACAAACTGACGTTCAAAGTCATCGCACCTGTGGAAGTATAACCCAGAAACCAACATGATCGTATCTGCAGTCAGGAGGGAGCTACAACAACAAATACAGAGACGGGGGGAGGGGAGGATGAGGGTCAGACACAGCAGAGAGATGAAGGAGGGGAGCTGAATGAACAGAGAAACCAGAATAACAGCAGTGTTTCATTTAATTTCATTTATCTCGTTTTTTTTTAATCTTCATTTGTCATTTATTCTTTTTTATGGCCAGGCTTTAAATTAATTTGACAAAAAGATTCCTTTATTTTTTTCACCATCACCTCAAACATATTTTATTTACAGAGCTTAAGAAAAAATTAAAGTGTTAGATTGTTTGTTTTTCAGAAAAATCAGGAATAGTTGTGTGTCATAAAGCGTGAATTTGTGTGGAACTTAAAAAATAACTGTGATACACAACTATTGCTAATGCTACGTCAACATATTTAGTTCAAGCTAAAATAATGCACTGGTGTAAATGTTTATATCCTATTTTATTGTAAATGTATAATTTGAAAATTACACATAAACCATTTGCTCAGCGGTCATCTGTTTTGTACGGGTCAGTTGCTCAGCACTTAAACGATTATATGTTTTTTAAAAAGTTAAACGTAAGAAAAAAGAAATACAAGAAACTGGATTAGCATTTTAACATTTTTAATAATACGATCTGAAATTATATTTTCAGGCAACGTTTAATGTGTGTGTTTTTAAAATCCTCCAAAAATTTCATTATTTAGTTTTTTCTTTCAGTTTTTTCATATCTGGAGAGGATCGTCACTGCGCTGTCGTTTTATAAAACTTACCTTGGAGCTCTAATTGCATAAAACTTACATATTCTGGCTCCACTGGGCCTGCTGAGGCTTTACATGTTTATATTTCAAACTTATTATTTAAAAAATGTGATACTGATAATTCTAGTATAAATTAACAACGTGTGCCGTGGTTCTGAATTATGTGTGTATTAGGTTAAAATCTGAAAAATTACACAATACTTACAGCAGCTGCTCAGTGCAGAGTGTCCCTCTGTGCTCAGTGATCCGGAGTCGGTCGGAAGTGTTGTATATTTATCAAACGAGCCCTCTTTTTAAATGCCGTTGCACCTCCCTCAGCACTGATTGGCCTGGAAGACACACACACAGATGCTGATCAGACCCAAAGTCAGAAAAATGACCTTTGATTGGTTGTTAAACTCTACTCAAGATCAGTTTTTGAAACTTTTCTACCCCCTTAAACTGTTTACCGTTGGGTACTGTTTAGAGTAAACAAAATATCTAAGATTCATATACACAAAACACTGAAACGCATCGCTCTGGCAGTGTAATCATGTCGTCATTTAATCAGTAAAATAAAAATGTTTTTTTTGAGTCTCTGTTTTTACTTTTAATCTGTCCAGTGGCTATAATAACAAATAGAGAACAAATCTTAATGGGGTAAAATGTCTTAGCTCATTAAGTTTGAGATGCTGTTTATGTCATAAACTCTGTGAAGGGTCTCTCCGGACTCATTATCTATCCTTAGCACGTTCTAAGCGGCACATGAGCCGCTTACAGACTAATTTATTGTAATTTTCCACTGGTCTTATAATTGTACCAATTTAGATACATAATTAGTGTATCAGAATTCAAGCATGAACTGCTGAACCAATCTTCACAAAAACAGTTGACTGATGCAAATTAAAAATGCGACATTTCCTGGAGAGAAAGTCGGATAATGTGCAGAACGGGATGAGAAAAGCAAAAAGTTTAGGGATTTTTTTTTTCCTGGGAGAGCGCCATATATGAGATTAATTTATATACGACGGAATAACAGACTTCATGGACTTAAAACCTTCAAGTCTATCGACGACGGTGCAGTGCAGCGTCTCTTCTGTAAGGTCTCGCTCTCACACTTCCATGACCAGTCCTCTTCAGAACCTCTTCGCACTTTAAAATTGCCCTTA